AATCAAGTTCTGCAATAGACGACAGTTGCCTAATGGATTCGACATATAGCTATCATAGCCCATAGATGCCCATAGCATCCTAATTATAGCATCCCATAGCTCAATGGCTCAATGTGGTGATGTTATTCGGTGGGCGCTCGACATCCTAATGTTGAACTTGTCCACACTGAGAGCTAGGCTCGAGCTTGAACCAAGGTGCCAGTGGATCTATCCCCCTGCACAAGGTGTTTGTGGACTTTGACAGGTCATTGCTCCTAGCCCTGCAAAACCCACATCTACACACAGTGATGCACTATTGCGAGGACTCGTGAAAAAAATCCAATTAAGAACCGTCCTGTTTGTCAGAAGCAATCACCAACCAACATTCTGGGCAAGTAATGTAAACCTGAATTCACCTTTATAGTCTGACATGGCTGGGTTTGTCCCGAGTTGTTTGTTGGGTACACGGGGACTTCACCAGAATGTGGTCTCCACGACCACCGTGTCTTGGGCCTTCAGGTTGGCCCAGTACAAGGCGGTGGAATCCGTGGCAATCCCTGCTGGGCCAGCCACCTTCTCCATCCTTAGAGGCACCAAAGAGAAAAGCTTTTGTCAGAGGGGGAATGCTCCGGCCGCTGTCTCACCCTTACTTGTTCGAACATTTTGCTGGGACTTGGTACAGTAATAAGCAACACCACAAGGACAAGGACTGCTTGGGGTGCCTTCAGGTGGGCCCAAATGCTAGAGTAATCAACTGTTTGGTCACGACTGACTGACAAATTCTTGGTTGGGATCAATTCATATCAGTGTTGTCACATTGGGGTGCAAATGTTCGGACTCCAAACCGAAAAGCTTACTAAACAAACCCTGAGCATCTTCTCAGAGCTTAGAACAGTCCTGCGGCACTCACAATCATCAGGATCAGTAGGTAATTCGAAAAGGTCATCTGTAATCTGAGTTCTTCTGGTCTCATGGTGCAGCTCTTGAGGGACTACACTGACATGGTGACATGGAATGGCGCAAGGGATCTGAACATCTCTGAACTCTCTCGCACTGTGACTTTCAGAAAATTATGGATATATAATCTGTCCATGATTGCTGAAAATTGCAGTGACAAATATACCGTAGTATACCTTCTTGAGTCCCACTTCTAGGTTGGTGTTCAATGCAATGAGGGTCATGTCATGCATGGTGCAGCTGGCTTAAACAATGTTGCACAGACTCTGATAAATTCACAAAGGCCAAGTGGTGGAGTTTGTACATTGGGCTTGTGATATCTGCACACATCAGGTAGACAGAGGAGCCGAGCCTTGAGTGTAGACACAGGTAGTGACCAAACATGTTTGAATCGTATGTGCGATGTGCCATGTCAATGCACAATGACGCTCGTGCTGAAGCATGTAGGAAAGTTTTGAGAACAGTTTGAAGAGTCCTGCCCTGCGGAACGCTCTTGGAGACATCCTGCGCTTTGCCAATCATGCATCGAAGGTAATGCACCACTGCCTTCTGCTACACATCGATGGAATTGCTTAGAACCGAAGCCCCAGTTGTTGTTGCATAAGCAGGCCAATCTTCGCTTCAAGACTGGAAGCCGGCTGCTATGGGTTCCTGCCCACGTCCACAAAAACTGCCAGTGGAATGGTCTCCCAGTAACTTTATACCGTGGGATACTTGACGAATCCTGACTTACAAGCTTGATCACTTCAGAAGATCTTAAGATGGGATACAAACTTTACCATTTTGTTGGAGGGAGATGGAAGCAGTTGTGTACACCTTCTGGCCATCTGCGAACGGATTCCCTGGGAAGAACCCACCCTGGCCCCTGTCATGCCCTCAAGTCCTCTGCTTTGATCATCGAGACGGTGCCCGCCTTGGTGCAAAGGTCATGGATCGACCAATCAAAACACGTTTAAGGTCCTTCACCTTCACTTTGGACATCGACTTGTCTCAAACTTGTAGGCATCACTACCAAGACTACCATGAACGAAGTGCCTGAAAATTCCGTCCCCTCTTGTAGATGGGGACGTGGCCTCCGCATCGGTATAGAAAATGTTGCCAAAGCCATCCACAGCCAGCCAGTATGCGGCGTCCTTCCGCCAAGAAGGCTCACAACAGCGGTTGATGGACCCGTCCACATATATAACCAGTTGATCAAAAGCGAGTGAGCCTGGAGGTAGGAACGGCACCTTTACGCTTTCTAGGGCTAAGCGTGGACTCTAAGAGCCCTCTGTTCCTGGCGAATTTCTCGATGAGTTCTATGGAGTGGGAACTCTTACGTTGCACAAACCGTCTCAAACCAGAAATCTTTACATTCCGTGCCCTCCTTGAGGTTGCTGGCCACAAGCTCTTGCGGCCCAGCCTCCAGCGTATTACGCCAGGTGCTGGTGACCTGGCTGGGTTCAGACTGTCATACGTGATTATCGCCATCGGAAAGCGAGTCAAACAGCACGACTAGGGTGATATCTCCATCTCCACCACAACGAAGAATGATGGTTCAACCATTTGGACAACTCAAGTGGTGTTGCCAGGTAAAAAGGAGCAGGAGCAAGCTAATTATACAATTGCAAGACTGAAGCGTCCCAAGGGTGCTTAAATTTACCCATAATTAGGTACAAATGGGTGGTTCTAAGTATTGCGTAGAAGTTCGATGTTGAGACCGGGAACCAAGCAAGACTCCAAGTTCACAGCCAATCTGAGATCCCGCGCTTCATACCTGTACAAGAAGCCAACCTGAGAACAAAAGAACACAACTGTTGGAACAATCGTTCTCTTTCCTTGACAACCTTATGACATCCTGCAAATGAAGTCGTTGAATTATATGCATAACACCAGTCTTGTAATAAGCTCATTCTGAACTCTGCATTATTCACAGTTCAGGTCTCGTCTCAGTGATGGAGGGATCTTAAAGATCTTGACAGGGCAAACATAGATTGGCGCTAGGGCGATCAGAACATAGGGATAATAGTAACATAGGGTCCAAACATTTTGCAGTGCTTTGACCAGCAAGATACAGTAAATCCAACATTGATAAACCATCATCAGCTGCTAGTGACTTTTAGTATCCGTACGCAGGTTCTCTTCAGTTCCTTAGACTTCCTTAGCATGCTTTGCGTGCCCAGCTGCTGGTCTCCCAAACACATCCCACTGTCCCATACTGTCCCATACTGTCCCACTGCTCTCTTTTCTTGCCGAACGTCTTTGGGATCGGAGACGTAGAGCCATGCCTTGCCACCAGCTTTCTGATACAGCCTTGGACATTGGTGAAGAAATCACGATGGACGCTGTCTGAAGTCACCACTCTTTTGGGCAAACGAATACAACCTCCTCCAGGCCCTGCTTTTGTGCTCATGAGCTCTGCCTAGGCGGGCAACTTGCTACACTGTATTAACACTGTGAACCTGGATATGTACTTCTCTACTTCACAGTTTCCCAAGGTGACTGTGGAGTGGTAACAGTAGGTATAGTAGATAACACTTGTGTGAAAGCCACAACAGGCAGCACAATCTATCAGTGTCCAGAGACTTGGAGTCTTTGTTCAATCTATGCCGACGACATTTCCCTGAAAGCTGGAGTTGCAACGTACCATGAGAACAGGGAGGCATTTGTTTTAAGAAATTTCGCGACTTGAGAGTGTCCCCGTATGGACTGTCTGTGAAACTGGAACAACTGATCCATTCCATGCTTTGCATGAAGAATCAATTACCAACCATAAACCCAAGAACCCTTCTCAACACCGAGGGAGCTGCGCGAGCCCTGCTGGCTCCTCCAAGCCATGATTGGAGGTCTCTATGCAGGCCCAACCAGAGCACCTGGCTCGCAGCTGTACTGTACGGCCCTAGCACACCCAAAAACCATATTTCAGGCATCAGCATCGTTTTGCACTGATGCCCCAGGCATCGACCCGTCGTTCCGAAAAGACTGAAGACGGGAAGTGTGAAAGGCTCGTGTGCACTCGTGGCCGTCTGCTGAGCAGCTGGCTTGCTTGCAGCTCCATCAATGAGAATCTGAGCATCTGGAATCGGCCGGTCCTGCAGCCAATAACGCACAACAAAAACGAATAGCCTCTGCTTCCAACTTGGCTTCTCCGGAGATCCACTGCTGGAAAGGAAAACCCACAATTTCTGAAATTCATCCAGGAATAGCTTTCGACACCGAAAAGTGAATAGTGGACAACTGGTGAATCTAAGAATCAGCTGCAACCGAAAGCATTAAATTAATGCGAGCGTGAGCTATCCTGCGTCCAGCTAATAGCGTCCAGTACCTAATAGCTACTATCTACTCTACTATCTAGCTTGCTCCTCTTCCTATAGCGGCCTACCCCGGCCCAAAAAGAACAGAAGCAACAATTAAATAATTATCTAACAAAAATAAACGAACCTGACCACCCATTGCGACTTGGTGCGCCTTCAAAGTCAAATCGTGGAATTTGGGCAATGGTGCCCAAAGGACGTTTCGAGTCCCTGGCGATGTCACCTGAGCCATTCACAAAGTTTGATTCAATTGTTTCAATGGTTTTATATTATATGCAACTTTGCGCTTCTTGGCGTGTTTGTTGTCTCCAACCAGTACACTCTACTCTTTTCTAGTGCAATGAAGCGGCAATGACGAAGCGCTCAGGCCTGGCATAAAAGCTACGCAGCAGTCGAATTAAACATGGGCTGCTGCATGTTGTTGCTACTAGTTGCTACAGGGCCGCTTCCTGCCTTTGTTACCTGCCCCCCTGTGTATTTCACTCAAATGATAAAAGACCGAACAAAAATAACAACACAATCCGTGCGTCGTGCATTAAGAACTCCACCAACATAGAAAGAGAAACTCTGACTCTCCCGTAAGCTGCCTCTGATAGCCTGTCTCCCGGGATAGCAGAAGGGCGACTGCCGCTATGATACCTTTCCATGCAAGGTCGGTCAACTCTCATGAACCCTTCAGTCGAACAAAAACAGCACCGCCAACACTCTCCAGCAAAGTCCAGTCAGCCATGGGCGATATCAGTCATCGCGTGCGCGCACTGAACAATGTTTTCTGTCAACATTTTCCTCTACCGCATCTTGTTGGCCTTCTTTCTCAGCCACTGCTCCATTTGCGACTGCAAGCGGCTCTTGTCAAGGTATTTCCGAAGAAGTTGTCTTTGGAGCAAGTCACCACCAAAGTACTCCGGATTTGATGCCCTCTTCTCTGCATTGTCAAGGACCTTTTCTGCCATCCACCAATTTGATGGCACCAGAGTTCTTGGGTTGGGAGGGGCAAGGTGGCATAAAGCCGCCAATGCGGCCAATGCCCTGCGCTCAGGCTCGTAATTGGCCTTATCTAGAGCTCCCATGAGTGCCTCCAAACAATTGGCTTCCTTCTTTTTGCCCCACAATTTATCCAGTTTAAACTCTTTGCCTTGGCCATAGGTGATGGCCACTCGATCTTCGGACGGCACGAAACCAAATTTCTCTGCCCAAATCTTGTATTTCAGATCTTGGGGTGACTCGAAACCCAGCAGGTCAGCACAGTAGTTCATGGTCTCGGTCCTATTTGATCCCTCTGAAATGCCGCCGGTGATGCTCAGTAGCTTGCAAAGGATTTGGTTGTGAGACCCTGAGTTGGAGTCATCCGCATACAAATTGTCCTCAATGTCCTTCCACAAGTCTTGAGGGTAACTTTTCACTGCCAAGGACATGTCCAGGGACTCAAGCACATCGAGGTGATCTGACGACACTTGTTTCCATCCCGGGTCTAGGTACTTCGCATCCAACAAATGGTATTTTTCAAGCCTCAACTCATCTTCTTGGCGTACAGGTTTGATGCATGCAATGACTCGCCCTTTCAGAAAACATGACCGGTGGCCAGGGGTCACCTCCTGCGCCAACTGATTTGAAGTCATGACCTCCACCCTTTCGTTGGTCACGAACTCCCTGAAAAAGTCATAGCATAGGTCCTTGAAAAGCTCATCGCCTGCAAGGTCGTGCCCAACACGCACATGCCAACAGAATCAAACTACTGAGTACGCATAAACAGGAGATCCCTTCCACCCCTCTCGCCGCGGGCTTGCTTATTTTGTCTGGGCTTCGAAGCGCAGAACAACATGGGCTAAGTCAGTGGCGAAGCCCGCCTTCCACGCCTCTCGCCGTGGGCTTGCAAGCCTTTCTGGTACTGGGCTTCGAAGCTGCCATGTGGGACCCTCTCCGGCTGCAAATTGCGCGCAGGACAACATGGGCTAAGGGCGTGGCGAAGCACATCTTACTGTATTTGGCATTTTCTGTTTCTGGCAGCAAAAGCAACAACCGCCGCCACCACCACCACAACAACAACCGCAACCACGAGAACGACAACCACAACCATAAGAACAACCACAGAAAAACTACTACCGCAATTTGTCCAGTGCTCTCGACCTTTGACAGGGACTTGCCTCTGTCAGGGCGGCCAGCCTCCTATGCACAAGCTGCTTGCTGCGTCTTGCGCAGGATGCTGCCCGGGCGCCTGGACATGCCTGGACCCCTGTCTTACCCAAGGAGGGGTTGGTTGGAGTCGCCCCCCTACAATGGAAGCCGTGGACGTAGACCGGCGATCGCGCCTAGTTTGGGTGGAAGTGTTTTTTCGCGAAGCAATGGCCCGCGCGCTTTGCCTGGCTGAGGGTTGGATGCGGTTTTGACAGCTTCGAGTGTTTATTGCTAAGAATCCCACAGCAACGGCCGACTCGAAACGGCTGCACTGGCCGCCTGTTTCAACCAAATTCACACAACCACACAACCACACAACCACAACAACAACAACCCCTGTCACCTGTTTGCCCCTGCCGCCTGCCACTGCACACCCTGCTGGCCAGCTGTTGGGTGTAAGCCCCTTCAATTTAGTCTACTACACAATAAATCAGTACAGTAATGACTCAGCCAAGCAAAGCATTGTCTCAAAACTTCAAGGCAATACAACAGTAGAAACCCATGGAAGCAAGCAAATGTCATACCAGGCTTTCATCTATAATTATACATTCGGTATATCCCCATTGCCACTGACAGTTGATGATGATGGTTAGTAAAGTTAAAGGCCTTTCCCAAAATAGTGATAATCTTTGACGACTGTTACACATATATATATAATATTGGTATACAAAGGGACACACCCAAGTGTGGACGAACTGGTCAAACTGATCGACGCAGCACGGTTCCCATGTGGTCTCACAAGGCAGCGCTGCTGCTGAGTCTATACACGTAATGACTATTTGTGACTATATACTGTTCATAGATGGTCTATTGGTAAACTTTTGACAAGTTGTGCGGCCTGCATCCTCCAAAGCTTTGAAGGCATTCGCTCGGTCTTTGTCTGAAGCATGGTCACGAGAGGGCGTCTCATTCCTCCATTGGTCGTCCAGCTCCTTACTCAGGATGTTGCGCATGAGCTGTTGTGCCCAATTCTTCCTGTCTTGCTCGAAGATCTCGGACGTCAACTCATCAAAAAGGGCTGGGACCTGCAGGTCCTGCATCCTCTTCAGGATTCGGATTTGAAAGTGCTCTCGCAGTTCCTCTTCTGCCATTTCCTCTCGCAATTCTGCTTGTCTAGCAGCTTCATCTTCTCTTTCTTGCTGCCATTCCTCGTATTCTCGCTTCTCTTTCAATTCTAAGCAATTTGCACACTTTGGAGCGTCCCAGTCAATCTTCTTCCTGAAAGCATCTCGGAGTTGAGAAACGCCACAAATTTGGCATATCAACTTGCTCAACTCGATGTCTCTCTCTTCTTTGCATGTCTTGCAAAGTGGTTGATCGCTGTTTCGCAGGCTCTTGGAAAAATCATCACGATGAAGCCTCTGTTTGCAGCCGTCACAAACAATGTATTGAGCCTCGGTGTTGGCTTCATCTACACACTGGATGCATCGTCGGCTTGCTAAGCTGTATTTCTGCTGGGTCTTGTGGAAGGAGTCCTTTGCCTTCACCAAGCTACACACATCGCAGAAGAATCGACCTTGATTCCACAACACATCCAACTCACTCTGACACGGACGAGGACTCTTGTAGCCGAGCGCTGGCGCTTGACTCTCAGAGCTCCTAAGAACGTCCAAAAAGGAGCGGCTATCAACAGGTGGGGTTTCAAGCGCTAAAGCACCATCCGTGCGCAAAAAAGGCGGCGGTGTCGTTTCTGGTGTGAAAGGACTTGTCACTTCCCCAGCAATGCGGGTCACCTCGCCACTCAAGTGATCGAAGATCACGGTGGCTGTGGCGTTGTGCCATTCCTGCCGCAACTCCTTTTGATCCTTTTGCTCCGCTTTCCACCAGAGCTTCTTCCAGTGGTCTTTGCCCGCAATGTGTGGCGCCAGTGAGTCCGGGTAAGCCTTTTGGCAAACTGGACACTGACCCCAATCTGGAAAGCTGGACAAGAAAGCTTCAAGCCGTTGCGCCTTACCTTCAATAGCTGAACGCCAGTCCGCGGCACTTTGCGGGAACGATTTCATCATACACAAAAGAAGTCGGAACAGAATTCAGAATTCTCTATTGTGTGTATGTGTATATAAATATAACTATATATATATATATAAAAGGCAGTGCAACCAATACTGAAATCCCGGTTTATTCCCATAATTTTTCTTAGGTTTCTGCAAAACAGAGTTATATACATGTTTTCCAACATGTCAAACCATAATTTGCCTTGCCAAGATGAGGCTGTGCAGCTTGAGTCAAAATGGACATGCTTTCGAGGTCATTTGAACTGGAGACTCCGCTTGATTTGAAGCACACCGTTGGCATTCGTCTGCTCAGTGTTCTTTTTGAAACATCCGTTTGATTTGTAGATTCTATATAATATACATATTTAGATTATGTAATCATGTTAAGTCTGTTAGATCATTTTCCTCAACTCCATCTGTCTTGCCCTCGCTCTGAGCATGGGACCGACCGAACCCACCAGGGGCCCGAGCGCCATGACGGCACCTGCGAATCGCCCAAACAACGTTTTGGTCTGTGAAACTATCAAAGGCAGTGCAGGAAAAATCCAAAGGCTCTGCGAGACAATCAAGAAGACTTTCAAATTCAGAGGCCCACAAGAAATCGGTTTGTCCTCGGACAGTAAAACCGTTTTGTGCAACCAAGAAGGAACCAATCGAGCAGGGGGATCTCAAGCGACTCATGGGTTTAGCCTAAGCGCTCACAAATCATCAAGAATACTGTACTGCAAAAACTGGTATTGAGTCCTCCAATCAAATATTGTTGGATTGCCAATAGTTCATTTTCACGGGGCGGCCGCCCATGTGGGGGCACTTTTGCGCCTGACGCTGCCTCCGTTTATTGCCGCGGTGTTGGGAACTCGTTGGCGCCGCATTCCCTGACGCTCCTTTCCCCACTGATGCCGCCTCCCCGCCTGACGCCGCCTAGCGACGCCGCGCCGCTTCCTGGTCTGACAGCGCATACCCCCCTGACGCCGGCTATTGACGCCGCATTCCTTGACGCCGCGTTCCGGTCTGGCGCCACATACCCCCCTGACGCCGCCTATTGACGCCGCATTCCCTGACGCCGCGTTCCGGTCTGACGTCGCATACCCCCCTGACGCCGCCTATTGACGCCGCATTCCTTGACGCCGCGTTCCTGTCTGACACCGCATACCTCCCTGACGCCGCCTATTGACGCCGCATTCACGCCGCGTTCCTGTCTGACGCCGCATACCTCCCTGACGCCGGCTATTGACGCCACATTCCCCGCATCAGGCCGCGTTCCCCATTGACGTTGCGTGATTATATCCTTGAATCGAAAAAAGGCCCTTGCGACCGGGGGCCGTTTCCAGGGTTAGAAGTTGGCGGCAGCGTCAGGCGCGAAATCTGTTGGTGTTGTGCTTTATAGCTTCGAAATACCCCGGGCCTCTCCTGACGTCATTCTCACCGTGTTTACAGTGACTCGGATCAACTGTTTATTGGGTTTTATCTGAGCAAATTAAAAAAAATCGTGGGTCGTCGGTTAGTTTCGTTAAATCGGAAACGAAATTATGTGACGTCGTTGGAAATATGAAATTAAGTGACCTCGGGAAGACCTAGCACCCCAACCAGCGCACGCACCCAGTTGTGGACGTGGCTTGGTTGGGGTGACCGTTACGGTGAGCACCTCCATGGCGAGGCCGCTGTTTGAATCTTCTGTACTGGGAGAGATCCAGTTGCAGGCAGTGGACTGGATGCCTGGGAACAGCATTGCGTATTCTCTTTTCGATCTCTCCAATGCTTGGGGGTGTTGACCCGGTTGACCCTACGCTCATGTCGTGTGGGCTACAAGAGTTTGGCTTTGGAGGCGGTTCCAGAATCCGGTATTTGAGCTTTCAACTGGGGCGGGAATAGGCGTCAAGGAGGCCTCGAACCAACCAACCGTCGCAGAACCCTATTTCGCCAAAAGAAGGTGTTTTGACGGGGGCTGCCTTTTCCAGCTGCTCGTCGCGGTTTCCTATACTGGGGCTCGGGCTCGGTAAACCGGGAAAACAAGTCCAGGAGGCCTACCTTTTCCAGCTGCTCGTCGCAGTTTCCTTACTTATACTGGGGCTCGGTAAGCCGGGGAAAACGGGTCCAGCAGGCCCGAACCAACCAGCCGTCGCAAAACCCCCTTTCGCCAAAATGGTGTTTTTTGATGGGGGCTGCCTCTTTGAACTGCTCGTCGCAATTTCCTTGCTTACTGGGGCTCGGTAAGCCGGGAAAACGGGTCCAGGAGGCCCCGAGCCAACCAGCCGTCGCAAAACCCCATTTCGCCAAAATTGGGTTTTTTGATGGGGCTGCCTTTTTGAGCTGCTCGTCGCAGTTTCCTTGCTTACTGGGGCTCGGTAAGCCGGGAAAACGCGTCCAGAAGGCCCCGAACCACTCAACCATTCTGAAACCCAACGTCGCCAATTCTTGTTTGCTTTCGGCCCTTCGCGAACCCCCGCGTGAGCGGCCCAGCGGTCAGAAACGCGCCCTCGGAAGCGGAGCGCCCGGGCTCAAACCCCCAGCCTTGGCAAGCTTCCCGTCTTTCCAGCAATGTGCTTGTTTGTGTGTCTTGCGCGCGCGGCGAGAAAACGGTGGTCGCTTAAATGAAGAGGGGTATGCTCTAACAAACATCAACCTTTAGATTTGTGTGTGAGGGCTTTCCGTTGAAGCAACAGGCTGCCAAAAGAGGCTTAGCTTGCTAGTGGGACGATCTTACTTAAAATGAAGGGGCAAGATCTTAATTTCAAACCTAGGTCGTTAATTCAGGGTGACGTCGGTGACGTCGTTAAAATTTGCCAAGATTTTATTTGATTTTCATTGCTTCACAAGATTAGCTTCTGTTCACAACCAAGATTTGTTCTTGCTAGTCTGACTTGAGCACCATGACTGGCCGCTCTGGTTCCACGGCCAAATGATTTTACCTCCGCTTCACGTTGCGTCAAGTTCGGACAGATAAAGCAGCTTGCTCTGGCTGCGTCTTGGTGGCTTCAAGCTCAACAAAGCATGCCTGGATATGTCTGGGCTATGGCTATGGAGGAACAGTCAGTCAAATGTTTCGTTTGGACCGTGAAGCCATGAATTCCGAGGAATTCCACGATCATATGAATGCGTTTCGGTTTTAGCTTTTCTGTCAGGAGCAGGAACACAGTTGTAAGTTGTAAGCCTCTACCTTCAACAAATTTCTCTTTTACAGTGATCGCCAAAAAAAGATTTCGTCGACTCCTTAGCACTGAAACGGCCGAGAGCAGATCTGCAGAACATTGCAACATCTCCGCGTCCAGTGGAAATCGGTAGATTTCTATGAATCAACTGGGGTAAGCAATGGTTGTTTGCCCTTCGCCAGGGATCGTTGCCACCTTACCGCCCGAAACAAAGCATGCTTACAGTACTGTGACTATTCTTGATGATGCAATTGCCAATCACTGTGAATCTACTTGATTACACATGTGTATCTTCATTCTTCATCATGTTGGGTTTCAGAATACTAGCTTTCAAATGTTTTCAATTTAATGGGGGTTGACCAGAAAAAACTGCCTTCATATTCTAGTTTCATTGGCACAGTACTCATTCGTATTCCTTTTATCTCCTTTACACTTTTACATCTTACCTCCCCAGTATGTTGCCCCCTCGGGCGCGCAAGAGATGAGGGGCATTTTCGGTTCCTGCACCAGCACCCGCTTCATGACTTCACGCTGAAGGTGTTCACTCTGAAATGGCCAGTTTCTAGTGATAAACTTAATACCCATTGAGGATATTGTCACCTCAGAAAACAAATTAATTGAGCTGCACAGCCACTTGAAGGATGAACAGACGCCAATGTATGGATGGACAAATGAAACCAAATCTTTGGTTCAAGACCTTCAAAAGACATGGACAGGTCGTTTGGCGTTTAGACCTTTTCCAGGCGCTCCTTGACCATTGCGGCCAAGGTCACGGACACGTGGAGATGTTGGCGAACCAATGAAGGACCAAGGGAGCACAAGTGGGAGCACAGCCAGCCTCCCCCGGGTTTGTCTGGTTCGCAAATTGCCAAGCCGCAAATGGTTCAACTATAAATTATAAAGCCAAGGACCCACACAGCATAAAACACCTGCCACAAAGGTATACTTGGCCGGCGGGACTTTGCTAAGTTTAGCTAAGTCTAACTTGGACTTATAAGTACTTAGTAAGTACTTAGCTTGGGCTTAGCTCAGGGTAACTTAGCTTGGACTTAGGTTGGACTTAGCCTGGACTTAGCTTGGTCTCAGCTAAGACTTAGAAGTCCGAGCGAGGTCGAAGCTAAGTGTTAGTTTGCTTGATCAGTTTGAGCTAAGTCAAAGATAAGTCTAAGGCAATTATTGAAAAGTAACAATGAAAAATGAAAACCGAAAGCTCGGTCTGGGAGTGCGCTGGTAGACTTCTCTCACGCGAGCATCAAGAGTCATCACCTGAGCATCAACAGCCAGCATCAACAGGCATCACATCTTTGAAACTATTTTTAATAATTTGAAAAATATAGTTTTTGGTTAATTACACTGTTAATACTATCATAGTTAGTGTATCACAGTTTAACTAAACTTATATATTGTCAGAAGTCTTCTGACAAATTGTTGTTGACATGTACCTTTTCAACAATATAATAATGTCAGACTTTTTCTGACATCTGTAAGAATTTTATGACATTGGCCAGAACATTTTTCTGACAAATGTCAGAAATATTTACTATTTACACAAACATTTTCTGACATGTGTCAGAATTTTCTGACAAATTTTAGCTTAGATTTAGTTTTAAAAGGCAATATTGTCATAATGTTCTGACAAAGTGTTGTTTACATTTACGTTTAAAAGGATATACTGTCAGATTTTGTCAGAATCTTCTGACAATTGTCTGAATATTTTCTGACATTTGTCAGATTACAATTGTGAGAATATGTTTCTGACATTTGTCAGTTTTTGATATATGTCAGAATATTTTCTGACGTTTGTCAAAAATATTGAAGATGAAGACAAGTTCTAAAACTTGTCTAAATAGAATTGCGATAATGTTTAAGTCTTTGGGGTGAATGA